ACATTTGGCAGAGAGCGTACATGAAATTTTAATAACGCATTTCAAAAGCACTTCAGGATATTAGGTTTGAAAGAAGAAAATTTTAAAGAGCAGATTTCAAGCAAGGAACACTTCAGGAATACTGAAATATAAATATATTTCCTCTTTGCTATTAAGAAAATGGGCAAATAATTTTTATTATTACAATATAAATTTATGAAAGACAGGAAGCACAGATACAGCAAAGAAAATATAATTTCATATCAAATATTTTAAAAAAATATAAAAGGTTTGCCATAACTCAAAAAGACAAAAAATAATCAAAAAACCTTGTTTAAATATAAAAGAGTAACCCGTTCGAAAGACTTTAATATGTACAATGGAGATGCATATTATTATTCCAGTTGGGCTAGATGATAAACTTCAGATTCGAAGTTGAAACGCTAAGCTCGGTACAAATAAAGACGACATATTAAAAAATAAAATAAACTTAGTAGAACGCAAACAAACACACACATACACAAACAAACAAACAAGCAGACAAACAGACAAACACAAACAAACAAACCTCTATACTGAAATACCCTCTGTCGACGTAGTCTCCAAGAAAAAGATACCGGGTAGAGGACGGGGGTCCGCCCACTTCAAACAATTTCATAAGATCATAGAACTGACCGTGGACATCACCACAGACTGCCAAACATATTATAATATAATTATAATATATTATAATATAATATTAATATTATTTTAAGTAGTAGTAGCAGCAGCGGTATTATTAATATTATTATTAGTAGTAGTAGTAGTAGTAGTAGTAGTAGTATTAGTAGTAGTATTAGTAGTAGTAGTAGTAGTAATGGTAGCAGTAGTGACAATAAATAAAAAAGTAGTAGTTAGTAGTAGCAGCAGTGCTACTAGTAATAGAAGCTAACATTTTCGTTAATGCGGATAGAAACAATCGAAGCAATCAGAAAAATTATAGAAATAAAAATTAAATAACAAGGCTGGGATCAGAAAAAAATAAACACGGAAGCGCCGACAAGCGTTCTTTGTTATGAGGTATTGATTAATTATACGACCATATTTATTCTACTCTACCTCGCAGTGTATCGGTATTGCGTCTCGGTATCGTGTTTCGGTATTGAACCGACACCATAATGGTGTTGTGACGGTATTACGGTGGTATCGTATCGGTATTAATAGTATCGGTAACATGATGGTACTGTACCAGCGGTTATGTTGGTATTGCGCCATCATCAGCAAGGTATTACATCCCTTGTCTCACTGCTATTTGGTCGGCTTTTTATCGGTATTTTTGTATCGGTATAATGTCGGTATGATATCGGTATAATGTCGATATTGTGTCGGAATTATGTACGTATCACGTTGATATTTTATCTCTTAAGTAAACCTACACGCACATACACGTGCACAAACTCAGATGCATAAGTATCATTTTGTATTGTGTCGTGTGTGTATATGTATCTGCATTGTATTGTATAATGGGTATCTATGAAAATAACAATGAAAAAGCGTGTTGTGGCTGTGCACTCGGCTGACAATGCTCTGTTTTCGTTACATTGTATTAGATATTTTTAATTATACATCAACATACAAACATACAAACAAACATACAAACAAACATACGATACGATACGATACTTTTATTTGCTTCTAAAAAATTAACAAAAAAAACATACAACATACATACAAACATACATACATACATCATTATCATCTTTACCTCCATCACCATCGTCACCAGCGTCACCATCATTATCATCATTATGACTATTCCAAGAATAAAACAACGTTAATGGCACACCAGCCGAAATATTAAAGTTTCGAAACCAGTGAACAAACAGAGTAAGTCCACACATTAAAAGTGAACTTAAATCTAACACACCACAACAAACACAAATTTATAAACACACACAACACACACACACACACAAACATACACACACATACATACATACATCCATACATACGAAATAATACACACGTAGGGTAGCGTGGGGCAAAACGCCACGTGGGGCAAAAAGCACTTTTTCAAATTTCTCCGAATTAATTCAAGTCCGAAAATTTTTAAATTAATTTTTGAAAAATAGAACGCACCCACATTATTTATAATAAAAAACCGCGTGGTATTGAGCTTTGGTTATTTTATTAAAAAAGTTTCAAGAATTTGTAGGTCGAATATCGCTCGTGTTATAATTTTTGTTTTTCGATTTCTTTTAAAATTTGTTAAAATAACATAATTTTTTGTGATTAGGAGTAGTTTGTTGTGAGGAGAAATCATTTTTACATATAGAAAATCAACTTCAAATTGGTTAGAACAATTTTTTGTTAATTAAAATTTAATTTATTCTTCGCGCTCTCTTTTGGGGCAAAACGCCTCTTTTACTTTGGGGCAAGAAGGCTAAATTTAATTGTTTTAACTATTTGTCAAGTTTTAGATATTTTCACTTAAGGCAGCCAATAATTGTAATTAAAATTATATTTTTAAAATTTTTTCAAACTTTTGTTTTTGTATAAGTTTTTAAAATTAAATTAAAATTATTTTAATTTTTGAAGATTGAAAATGGTAAGAAATTACATAAGAAAATCCACCAGATGTTCGTCTTATAATGATGAATCATTGAAAATTGCTGTTGAATCAGTAACGAATGGCATGCCACTAAAAACGGCTGTCAAAAAATATGGGGTCCCTGCAAGAACTTTAAAAAGGCATCAGATGGCCATGACCAAATTTCCTGGAAAAATTAGGCTGGGACATTTTCACTCAATTTTTACAAAGGACCAAGAACTAGAACTAGTAGAAATTATTAAAAGTATGGAAAAATCACTCTTCGGAATGATCACAACAGACGTCAGGAAAGTGGCTTTTGAATTTGCCAAAAAAATGAAATTAAGCCATCCATTCAAGGTTGAAATGAAAATGGCAGGAATAGACTGGATGTATGGTTTTTTAAAAAGACATCCAACGCTATCTATTAGAAAGCCGGAAGCGATAAATTTATCACGGTTAGTTGGCTTCAATAAAGAGCAGGTAAAAATATTTTTCGACATATATCTTGAAACTCTCAACAATGGAAATTACAATGCTATGAAAATATGGAATGTGGACGAAACTGGAATCTCAACTGTTCAGAAACCAGTGAAAATTGTTGGCAGCAAAGGTTCCAGACAAATAGGAAAAATTACAAGCGGGGAACGTGGACATACAGTAACTGTTTTATGTTCTATGAACGCTGCCGGAATATTTATTCCACCTATGTTTATCTTTCCAAGAAAAAGAATGGTGGATTCTTTAATGAATGACAGTCCACCACAATCAATTGGGACATGCACTCTGAGTGGTTGGTCCGATAGTGAGTGCTTTATGAAATGGTTACGACATTTTATTTCTATTGTTAAACCATCAGTGAATGACAAGCATTTAATACTTTTAGATGGTCATCATAGTCATAAGACATTGGAGTCAGTGATGTTTGCCCAGGAAAATGGCATCGAAATGTTAACTTTTCCTCCCCATTGCACACACAAGTTGCAACCACTTGATAAAACCTTTTTCAAAGTTTGAAATCATTTTATAACTCATCAGCTGATTCCTGGATGATGACAAACAAAGGCCGTAGAATAACATTCTATGAAATTGCAACAATTTTCAAAACAGCTTATTTCAAAAGTGTTACCATTGACAAAGCAGTAAATGGCTTTGCTTCTACAGGTCTTTGGCCACCGAATATGAACGTATTTTCAGATGAAGATTTTCATCCTTCGAATTTGACAGATGAACCGTTACCATCATCTGCTTTAGATTTGAATTTACATTCAAATTCATTGATTGAAACCATTGAATCAGTGGTTGAAAATGACCCAAACCAATCAATTTCTTCAAAAAGCCTTTTGGAGTCAATTGTTGGACCAATAAAATCATCAACGCCACGAGGTAGAAAAAGAAAATCTGAAAGAGCTACCTTGCTAACGTCCTCACCAAACAAAAAATTGCTACAAGAAAAAGATGATCAAAATTGTAAAAAGATAAAGCGTTCTAAAGATTTATTAGATATAAAAAGTAAAACGGTGAAACGAACCAAAGATACAACTCCATGTGGGACTTGCACACAAATTTTTCGTAAAGATGTAACTGGGCGTCAGTGGATCAAATGCCAAAAATGTGGCATTTGGCATCATAATGGTTGCCAAGGACTAGAAGAGGATTATAATGACATTTTTATTTGTATTGAGTGTGATGATTAAAATTACAAACAAAACATTAAAATTTTAATAAATTTTATTTTGTCATTTCATTAAAAATAATAAAGCATTTTTTTTCATGCATTTTGTTTCTATTAAAGCTATAACCATTGTAATCACAGCTTGTTTTGTTAATTTCTTAATTTGGGCCTTTTGCCCCAGGTATGGGGCAAGAAGCTCTTTTGATAGACCTCTATAGTTTTCCTCATAAAACACAGAAAGTGTATTTTTGAATAATTTAAATTGTAGAATTAGGTAGTGGACATACCAATCTAGCTAAGGCAACATTAAACTTTAAAAAATGTTCGAGTTGTTGGGTGTGGTCAACTGCCAAACGTTAGAGGTGGCTTTTTGCCCCATGCTACCCTATACATAATAGTATTCACACACATAACCTTAATACACACATATACACACACACCTAATAACACACACGCGCCCAACTGCATATACTCGGCAACCTACCAAAACATACTCACATACATACATAAACACATAGCTACACGTACAAACAAACATACACCACGTTTTTAATTCCCAGACAAAAGTTATAACTCAATTCACTATTTTTACAAATCTTTTTCCCCTACTTTTTGTATCAATTTTTGTATTTTCTACTTCTTTTCTATAATATAATTTTTCGGAAAGAAAGAGAGAAAGAAACAGAGAGAGAGAGGAGAGAGCATAACATGAAAAAAGACTTTTTGATTCCAGAAGATAAGAAAGTTATGTGGTATGATGCATGCAAGCGAGTCAGAGTTTTTTTTCCGTAGACTGCGTTTTTAATCTACTGCCCGATCGCATAACTTTAAAAAAATTTGAAAAATATATATATATATATAGAGAGAGAGAGAAGGAAAGAGAGAAAGAGAATAACACTCCATATGCGTCGCATGGAGTGTATATGTTGCACAAAACTGTGTACGTATGCCGTCGTGCGGTGTGGATTTAGCGTACAATAGTGTAGTACGTATGAAATACGTTGTGTTGTGCGTAGGTTAAGACCTCCATTCAAACGCAGAAACTTAATTGAAATTAATTAAGGAGTATGTCTGCAAGTGGTTCTCTTACACGTGTTAGAGGAATATAATGTGGATGAAAGCGACAGAGGAAAATTTTTCTACGAACTAAAAGTATTTGGAGAGTCTTAGTGGAAAATAGAAAGAAAAGAAAACACATCGTAAAAAATTGCCAAAAAAATTATTATTATAATAATTAAGTATCACCTTATGCTGCTGTTGCAAGTTTATTATTAGCAGTGGAGAGGCATAAATACAGAATAATTAAATTATGAAAACCATCACGATGACGATGATGATGAGGATAATAATGATGATGATGACAATGAATGATAACGAAGAAACGGTGATGATGATGATGATGATGATGATATTAAAAAATACGATGAGGATGATAATTGGTTAATTCTAAAAAAAAAAAAAAAATTTCAGGTAGGAAAGCAGCACATATCATCATATTATCAGTAAGTCATCCTTATTATTAAATTATATTGATATCTAATCAAGCTTCACTCTCCTACACCTGTTCCCCACCGAGTGTAACATAAAAATATTTAGCATAATTATTATAATACTAATTTATTATAGATTAGTTAATTGTAGTAATATTATACGCACCACAAATAATAATAAATTATCTGACTGGTAAAGGAAAATTTCTTAGTTTAAAAATCTAATTATGCTTTCTATTTATAAACTTTAATCTGTGTTTTAATAATGATTGAAATGTGTTTATGTAATATTGGCTGGAAATATATATATATATATATATATATATATATATATATATATATATTGGAACGAGGTTTTTTTTGATGCAAATATCGTTAAATATTTTTGCCCATTTTGCATATTAAAAAATATTAAAAAATTAATTAATGCAAAATGGCATAATGGGCAAAAATATTTAACGATATATGTATATATATATATATATATATATATATATATATATATCCATTCATTCAATCGTTCGTTCGTTCATTCGTCTATTTATTTATATTTTGGATGAAGATTGTATTAGATGTGTGTATGTGAATTTGTAAATGTGAGCGTATCTGTGCGTGTGCATGTGCGTGTTTGAGTGCCTGAGTTTGCATCAGAAATCCCGCCATTGCAGATACAAATAAATGTCTAGAGTTGCGCATAACGCAACATTAGTTCTGATAAGTATCTTAATGCTTGAAATCTGATGAGACTAAACTCCAGGAGTTATTTTAAATCCCACCAAATCCCACATAACCCCACGTAAACGGATGGTTCTGAAGGAATGTTGTAGGGATAGGCTGTTTAAATGTTTCTAGGTGCTAAATTTGGCAAAAAAAAAAGAAAAAAAACAAAAATAAAACAAAAACAAAACAAACCAGTCAAAGGTGCATCAATTTCAATGAGCGTTTTTTCTTGGCGCATGATGGCGGCCCCCTCATTCACGATTTTGAGAGCCACGTCATCGGTGACCCTTCCCTCGGCCATGAAATGTTGCTTCAGTACCTCGGGCCGTGGCCGGCCCTTTGCGTCGAACACCTCCGTCACCGTTAGTTTGTTGCTCGGCGGAAATGTAACGGCTGTGTGGTTGGAGTGGTTGTTGTGGTGTGGTTGCTGTAGTGTGGTTGTTGTGGTGTGGTTACTGTGGAGTGGTGTTGTGGTGTGATTGCTGTAGTAATGATAATTTGGGGTTAATGGTAATGATGGTGTTTGTGAGAAAGATGATATGAAGATGGCGATGGTGATTATTATATTGTTATTTATCTTTTATTTTCATAGCCATTTCTATTTCGTCATTACTATTCTTAATGTTCTTATTTTCATTTCAACATCACCAGCTCTGCCTAGTTATAATTGGAGATCGAATTTATGCTCCATAAAAATCATGCAATGACCTCAAATAATAACAGAAATAACAATAATAATAATAATAATACTATTTTTTTTATTAAATACACAAATAAAAATTATCACAAACACACGAATAAATATACAAATATAAAAATGCACAAAGATTACGCAAATAAATAAATACAAATGTATGTATCAAATACAATACAATCAGTATGATACTAAGATAATGATACTACAATACAAATAAAAATCAATAAAATACACATATGTATGTATCAAATACAATAAAATACAATCAGTATGATACAATACGACCCTTAGATACCGATACTACAATACTGTTACTACGATATGATATAATACATGATACGATACATTACAATAAAATCCAACTCCAATCTAACTCATTGGCATGCAATCAGAGATATTTTATGGCTTCACGTTTATATGGGTTTTTGGAATTCAAATTTTGTAAGGGCAAATTTTAATGTATCATGGAAAGGTCCATGGATGAATTGGTGAATGAATGAATGAATGAAAGAACAAACGAATGAATGAATAAATGAACGAATGAATGAAAAAATGAACGAATGAACAAACGAATGGATAGATAGAAGACGTAAAAACTGATTAATTGACTGATTGATGTAAAGATATATTGATAGTTAAATAGATAGATGTATGAATAGATGGACGAATAGATGGATAAAAAGATGAATGGATGGAAGAATGAATCGACATACAGTTAGGTGGATGAAATTAGGCAAATGTATGCAAATTTCAAAGGTGCGTTCACCGGCTCATAAAAAATTTAATCTATCTAAAAGTTGAAGTAATGAAGGAAAAACACCTCCTCACGCCTCTGATCTGGATTTGTTCATCACATCATCCATTCATCCACCATCCTTACTTTTTGACCAATTGACCGATTGTTCGTTCATTCATTCATGTTTTCATTCATTCATTCGTCGTATATATATATATATATATATATATATATATATGTGTGTGTGTGTGTGTGTGTGTGTGTGTCTATGTACGTGCGTGTGTGTGTGCCTCTACATGTGTATCAAAATGAAAATATAGATAAATATGAAAAGGTAGTGGCGAAAAGGATTCAAAAATAAACTCGTGCAACAAACACTAGCAAATGGATGTTATATTAAAATAAATGATTCTCTACCTTTTAGTTTCAATGATGGATGGATGCTCTAAATGAATTTGTATAGAGCTAGATAGCATTTAAATATAATAAATAAATATATATAAATAATAAAATAAGTACCATAAGCAAACGTACACACATATAGACATACATACATACAAACATAAAAACGTACATACATACATGCATACAAACAAACAAACAAACAAACAAACAAACAAACAAACAAACAAACAAACAAACAAACAAACAAACAAACAAACAAACAAACAAACAAACAAACAAACAAACAAACAAACAAACAAACAAACAAGCAAACAAACATACATACATACATGCATACATACATACGTATACAAAGAGACATATACACAAATAAGCAAACATACAAGCGAAGAAGACCAGCAGAGAGTTTTTGATTGCATTTACAAAATGAATCTTTAAATTAATATCAGGTACACACATATCCAGAGATAGACCTATGTAGAACCACATACAAACACACATACACACAAACAAGCAAGCAAACGCATACAAACACAACAGCTGATGTTGTAAGGTAAGAACAAAATCAATATAATTTCAATTAATCAAATGTGAAAGGTATGGATGGTTAACAACAATAACAAAAACAACAACAACATTAATAATAACAACAACAACAACAACATTTACAACATAATTAACAACAGCAAAAACATGATTAGACCTATTTCTCTCTCTCTCTATATATATAGCTCCTAGTTAAATGAAAAATAAATCTCTTTGAAAACTTCTATATAAAATATATGCAAGTCATGCAATTTGTACATTAACATAAACACAAATGTAGGTATATATTCATATATATTTATGTATAAAAGAATGTTTGTATACTATGTGTGTACTGTGTACGTGTGTGTGTGCATGTGTAAATGCGTGTGTATGCGTGAGTTGTGTGTGTGTGTGTGTGTGTGTGTGTGTGTGTATGTGTGTGTGTGTAGTACAAGCCTATTCATTATTTGTGCACTTGTATCAGTAAAACATAGGCACTTCAACATTTATAGTATTCATCTCTAAACAACACACTTACCCCACCTACTTAAAGAATTAGTATGAAAAGTGATGGATAAAAATGAATGAATGGATGAATAAAAAGAAATAAATGAATAAAAAGATGGATGTATGGATGGATACATGGATGGATGGATGGAAATATGAACAATTTTCTAAAATTTTCATAAAAAAAGAAATATCTATTTAATATAAATGTGTAACAATTCAATATTTTGTTAAGATAGAACTGATAGATTTAAACATGTGGGGCTTATGGAAATATTGGAAAATTAAGACATTGATGGAAAAGACAGAAAAGTTATCAAAAACTTCTTTTGGGAACAAAGAGCAGCGACGAAAGTTGGTAACAAGATGGCTAGTTTTATCGAAATAAAGAAAGGTGTTAGGCAAGGCTGTGTATTCTCTCCAGACCTGTACAATCTCTATAGTGAGATCATCATGAGAAAGATGGAAGATCTACCTGGAATATCCATTGGAGACGTGAATATAAACAATGTATGATATGCTGATGATACAGCTCTTATAGCAGATTCAAGGGAAAAACTGCAAACAATTGTTTTGAAAACTGGTTTTTGAAAGTTTTAAAGATCGGGTTTTGTGGAGATCGATGGTCGCCAATGTCCTGAAAGAATAAGGCACAAGAAAAAAATTTAAATTTAAATAATTAATATTGTCAATTGTTTTTCATTGATTTTAAAAGGACTAGAAATAAATAACCAAAAATAACAGGTAGATCAAGTTAAAATTTTAGAAAAAAAAATTAAATCAAAAAAACAACAGTGAAACAACCATTAATTAATTAATTAATTAATTAATTTAAAAATATTAATTTACTAAGTTTCATTAATATTTTATACTAAAAAATTTATAGTTAACAAAAAAACATATAATTAAATTTAACAGACAAACAAATCAGTTGAATTAAATTAACTACTCACAAGTAACAACTCTGTCAGAGGTGGATACTTTGGTGGCATTTGTGGACTGTGGAGTCGCGTTCTCAGCCACTGTCGTGGCAGGGACTGCGGCAGTAGTGGCTGACATTTTTTTTTATTTCGTTGTTTTTTATTTTCCTAAAATGAAGATTTTTTTTCTGCTGTCAACACAGATAATATAATCCCCCCGTAAAAGAATTTTTAGGTGTTATTTAAATATAAATTTAATTAGTAAAATAAAAGATTAAAAATGCTAGTTTTTGGATTTATTTTGAGTTAGGATCAATAAGTTGATTGATTTTTAATGAGATAATTATTTATCATTTATTTATTTATTGATAAGTAAAATTTTAACATTTTTTCACAGATATTTTATTTATTTCGTTATTTTTTTAAACAAGTTTCAAATTACAATTACAGCAATTCAACTTTGAGGCAAGCCAAAAAAATTTAAGTTTACCAAATTATTAAGAAGAAATGTTCATTTAAATTTCTTTCAAAGCTAACAAATCAAAATAATTTAGCAATAATATTTGTGGAAATTTTTTTTAAATAAAAATTTAATAAAACTTTATCGACATTTAAACTAATTTTATTTTAAATCCTGGTTTTTAAATGTTTAAAATGAAACTAGATAATTAATTTATCTCTTTAAAATTTTTTCTTAATTTATCAAATTTATATGTTAATTAAAACAATTTTTACAATATACTACAAATATATTATAAATAAAATAATTTAGGTCAAAAAACCGCTTTTTTGACTTATAAAAAATCTATAGGTATAAAATACAAAATATACCCCAACAGTAATACAACATGTATTGCGTATATATATATATATTAACACCCAGCAAAACGTTTAGTTAGGAAGGTAAACGCCCAATAACTTTCTTTTTTACTGGTTTTTTCTAGCTTTTTCCAGAAAAAAAAATTATTATCCTCCAGAAAACCTAAGGAATAATAATACAAACACACACCTTCATAGATAACTTATGTTAGCCATATTAGAAAGCGCACGTACAAAGCTGTATGGTGTAATATGTATGCCTAAATATTTTTATACATGCATGCAAAAATAGACTTACAAACAATTATACATGTATACATATACATACATACATATATGCATGCATACATACATACATACAGTTCCATCCACCCAAAAATTCCGGTGGACAGGCGGGTCTTTCCCGCATTGACACCAACGGCTGGTTGCGTTTCTCCCGCCGAGGTGCTGAGGGCCGTTAAATCGTTCAAAAACGGTTCTTCTGGAGGCCTGGATGGCCTACGACCCCAGCACCTTAAGGATGTTTTTTCAGGCCCCTTGCCAATCGACGACACACTGAACTCCTTAACCCAATTCATTAATTTGATCTTATCTGGAGCTTGCCCACTCTCCGTCCGCCGGTTCTTTTTTGGAGGCCGGCTAATAGCTTTAAATAAGAAAGACAGAGGGGTCAGACCGATTGCGGTCGGGAACGTTTGGAGAAGGTTGGCCGTCAAATGTGCCTTGGCCCTGGTCGTGGTCGAACTCAAGACCAAGTTCTACCCGACTCAGTTGGGTGTCGGGATTAAGGGTGGCGCTGAGGCCGCTGTTCATGCGGTTCGAAGGTTGGTCACCGACCTCCCCGATAAATGGGGGTTTCTGAAACTGGACTTTAAAAATGCCTTCAATGTCTTGAGAAGAGACTCGATGTTGGAGGCTGTCAAACATTTTTGCCCCAATATCTATAATTTTTGCCATTCTGCCTATGGCGGAGTCTCTTCCCTTGGCTACCACTCTTGGGTTGTAGAATCGTCCGAGGGGGTACAGCAGGGTGATTCCCTTGGTCCTTTGTTGTTCGCACTAACTCTTCATCCACTCTTAGAGAAAGCTTCGTCCACTTTCGTTTGCGCTTATCTGGATGATATCAGCATAGCTTCGGACGGTCCAACTCTGGCCGATAGCTACGAATATTTGAAGCATAACTCCGCTGCAATTGGCTTAGAGTTAAACATTAAAAAATGCGAACTTCACTGCCAAAGTTTATTTCAGGTGCCACATGCGCTGGCTGAAATACCCAGAGTTGGTGCATCAGAACTGAGTTTT